CGTTGTGTGTCTGTCTCCAGAGAGTGTAATAGGGTGGCTCATGCAATTGCTGCTAGTGGGTACGAGTGTGTTGAAGGGTTTGGGCAAATCTTAAGCTCTCTCCCTGATCAAATTAATGTAATTGTTGCTGACGAGCTGTTAGCCCATGAGTAATATATCTATTCAGGTTCAAAAAAAAATCAGTCTCATTGAACTTTTTTGAATTTTGATGTAAAACCTAAACAAGTATGTAGAAATAGTTATATTTAATTTATTTTGAAAACCAATAATGCATTAACCACGCGTGTGATGCTTGTGCATGGTTTTTTAACCTATCACTAACTTTTTGAATCTGATCCTTTGTTTCAATTCAAATGCGTCAAACACCAGGAAAATCCCTTCCAAACAACTCCCAAGAAAAGTTTCTTGCTTCTAAATTCCCTCAAAATCCAAAACATGCTCAGATTTATGATTGACTCAAACCTTCCTCCTTATTTAAATGAAATTCCTATTGTAGTTTATTCTTGGGCCGAGTTCTTCATGTCTAATTTGGCCCAAATAGCCCAAGTTCTTTTCCCTATAAAGTCCTTTCAATCCCCACCCCCAACTATCTTTTAAATATGATTTTCCTCTCCACCTATAAAACTATTTGTTTTAACAACCTCGGTGGTTTAAATGAGGGTTTTAGCCTACTATGTGGTGCCACGTTACGTTGATCACAAAGATGATAAATTAGATTACTTTAATACTCAAGAGGGTCAAATACGATTTGTAACAAAAAAAAGGTATACAAATAATTTTTCAAAACTTATCCATACATTTTTAGAAAATTCATAAATTTTTTGTTTTAGCTTGTAAAATATGGACCTAGTTTTAGATTTTCCTAAAATTGCCCTCCATCTTCTAGTGTCTATTATGGAGTTAGTTGAATCTTATATCGTCCCTCTTTTGGTATATATATTAGCTAGCAGATGCTCTTACTTTATCTTAAGAATAAGTCAACATTGCTGACCCGGACTACATAGAATATGAAAGACTTCTGTGACAACACAAGTGTCATATAACCACTTCATACTTGATCATGTTTAGTGTGAACAAGAGTATGACTTAATCATTCGTGTCACTTCGATGGAGGCGTGTCTAAAGGGATTAGTAGATGGCTAGAGAAGGTAAATAGTGTCAGATGGATGAACTCCGGCGATGAAGATCAGCAAATCACACACAGAGAATCAGGTGGGTAGCTTAGCTATCGGTGATGTGGACTCAAGGTACCTTAGCGCCCACAAAAGAGCCCACTACATGTATGATGGGCCAAGGAGATCAAATATGAGGCCTAGCCGAGAGGGGGTATGTCATCGAACTTTTGGTGGACAAGCAACTGGTCGAATGGAGCTTGGGGATTAAGATATACTAAGAATAACCGATTCTATCCGATAGATTTCCTTGTAACCGAATACAAAACCCATATCTCGATTGAATGAGATCTAATCCGTAACCCTACCTCCTGTACTATATAAGGTGAGGTAGGGAGCCCCCATTCAGTACATCCTATAGCACCATTGCAATCCTAGCAAACTAGGCAACTAGACATCAACGCCCCTTGTAAACACCAAGCATATGAGATAAGAGATCTACTCTCCACTAGAAGTAGGGTACCCATATCTGAACCAGTATAAATCTGTGACTCGTGTGCTACCCACCTAATTCCTCCCTAAGCCCTCAATCCTAGTAAAAGGTGAAGAAACATCTCCTAATAAGCAATGTTGACCATCGGATGCAAGTGTGCTTTCTCACAGTGGATGTGCCATGTACATGGATTGAAGGGACCACAACTAAGAAGAAATCATCATCACAACACTCCAACACCACCCATACCCCAACATGACAATGGGACCTATATCCACAAGGAAGGAGGAGAGCCCTGTTGGTATTTCTTATGCTCAAGTGATAATTCCACAACCGCCCAAAATACCGTTATAGCACTTCACCCAAAAGTATTCCACGGTATCGTATTTGTTTATCCACATGGAAGCGTGACTAAGAATATTAGTGAATATGTGACTTTACTATATTATTTTTAATGTACCAAAGTCTATTGGGGTTAAATCGATAAAGGAGGGCAACGAAACAAACAAGCACAACATAGTCGTACAAAGATACAAGAAGATAGATCACCTAGTTGGGAGGACAAGAAGATAAGTGGAGCCACAAACACTTCTCTACTACTTTTGTCTAAACATGCATTTTTCCTTTGGCAAGGGCTCATGATTTTGAGTCCTTGAGCTGGACTTCTCCATCACGTTTAGCTTGATGACGCTTCATCTGGTCCTAGAGAAGATAACGCGGATGACTGCACTTCTTTCTTCCACCAGACTTGTTCGGTATTCTTTGGATTTGATTGTGCCTTGGCGGGTTTGTCAACCTTCTTCTGGTTGGGGGATGAATTCTCCCCTTCGTCTTTGACTAACTCCTCGGTCGAATCATCTTGACATGCTTGAGGTTAGTTGACTTCGAATCATGTGTAGAGAACGCAAACCTCTCTTTTTTCCATCGAAATGGAGTTGAATTTCTAAAAGCCTAATGTTTGGTTTTGGTAATTGAGACAGCTAGTGGACTAACATTTTGTTAAGCGTGTGATTAAGCTAGGTTAAGTCCACACCAAGGTGATGAGCAAGGCTTGTAAATGAATGAAATGCGATCGATCTAATTGGAACAAGCTCTCACTTGGGAAAGAAGAAAGAGAAAAAAAACAATATCTAATATTGTGAAGGCAAAGGTATAAATAAGGATTTTGTTTTGCTGGTGAAGATGCAATAGAGTGTGGGATAGGGTTTAGTATAGATAGTCGTACTATTAAGTGGGGAGCTACAATTAGCTAACACGGTTATCAAGTGCCACTAGATGTTGATCTACATCATTTGCATTTAGGTCTAGTGACATGGTGAGTAGCAAGCAAAAAATGGTTTTGAAAAAACACTTAGAAAAATGCTAACTCAGGGCTTAGATGTTTGACAAAACATTTGAGAGGGCTTGCGAAGAGACAAGAGACAAGAGAGTGCTGCCAGTGGTGTTGTTTAGCACTCACCGGACGTGTATAGGACAAGGGTGCATACAGGAGATTGTCATATGTTATATTTTGACATAATGTTGACATTTGATCCGAGATCGCATATGTCATTGTTGAACGTCTAGGGTCCAATGGAGCATCTGATGATTGGCCTACCAGATCATCCTTCTTGATCGTGAAGGGAGAGTCTAATAGCAGTTCACCCTTATGGTACCAAACTAGCGGTCTCGAGTGGCTCCCTCAGGTTTCATAGGAATTCTTCCTTTTTCAAAAGATGGAACTGAAGCTTCTAATTGAGCTAACTAGGTTTCTAGTATCTTATTAAAGCTAAGTAGATTTTTCATGGTAGAGAAGTCATCAAGTTTAGCATGAACATTTTCAAGTATCTTTTCATCAATATACAACTTCTTATTAATGTTCTCATTTATTTTAGCTTGGCCAAGAACAAGAACTTTAAGAGAAGGTTGATTATTGTTATAACCATTGAAATTGTTACCTCCTTAGTGCTTGGAGCGTTGATTGGATCCTTGATTTTGTTGAGGACAATACCCGTTATTGTTATTGTTGTTAACAAAGTTGACATCTTTATGGGTTTCGTGACATGCATCTCCCAAATGTCCAACGTCACCATAGGCCTTGCATGTCATGCGAGCATCCATGGCTTGAATAACTTCTTGACCATTGAGCTTCTCACGGTCTTCTAGTCGCTTCATGAGAAGATCCATCCTAGCAGCAAACATATCTGCTTCCATGACGGTGTGCATTCCTCGCTTGCGGGGTTGGAGTCGTTCATTGCTCCACCCTTGGATGGGGACCATCTTCTCGATCAGGTTGTTAGCTTCATTCACATTCAGCGAGAAGAAGGCTCCTCCAGCAACAACATCGATGTGGTCACGAGCCATGTTGATGACCATGTGGTAGAAGTTTTGGATTAGGAGCCAATCCTCCATTCCATGGTGTGGGCACACTAGAATGTACTCTTGAAGGCATTCCCGCACCTCAGGGATGGACACATCTGCTTGTTGTTGAAAACTTGAAATTCTATTACGAAGGTCATTAGTCTTTCCCATCGAGAAGAACTTGACAAGGAAGCGTTGGAACACTTATCCTAACTGTTCATGACTTCACTGTTGGAGTAGAACCACACTGCTTTGCCTTCCCGGGCAATGACAACGAGAAGAGGTAGAGTCAAATGGCCTCTTGAGTGACTCCGTTGATGGTGAACATACCATAAATCTCCACAAATCTCCAACATATTAGGCATGTTCAGCCTCCATCTCCACCATTCCATCCACCTGTTGTTGTGCTTTGTTTTGCAAACCCACGAACTGTTGGTCCATTCCCCAAACACCAACAATTCCATGTTATAATCCTCATCTTTCCTAGCCGAACTGCTCCTGTAGTCCCGCCTGATCAGCAAAGATCGTCATGTCCACCACTTCTGCTCCCTCCACCTCCTGTCTCTTATGTTCCTCTCCCTCCAGTAGCTTCTTGCTCTCTCTAAAGTTGACACCCTCCTCAAAGCCATTGTTTTCCCGGATTCTTATATAGGTCCTAGTCAATATCCTATTCGCCAAAGTACTTTCTCTATCCTTGTTAAAATCCTTCTCTCCCACAAGGGCATGTGTTGCATCCTGTAGAATGGGACAAATTGAGCTCTGGTCCAACCCCATCCTAGTTGCTCCATCTCATCCCCTGTATTCCCCACATGCCACTCTTGTACATGAAGGATAAACCCGCAACCAGTCTCCATTCTGTTTCCTCTCATCCTTGCCACAGTTCTCATCAAACTCTTTATTGATATATGACCCAACAATCCACAAACATTGCAAAAGTTTGGGAAAATTCATATTTGATTGGGCACCAGCAATCCTTTCCCCCTTCATCCTTTTGCATCAACACCCTACGAAGCAGTGCCTAGTGAATATCCAACTTAATAGCCCCTAATTGCTGATCAGTCATCATCATTGTCCACCAAGGTCTTTCCCACCTTGGCAGCCATCTCCTTTTCGGTGGTATCATTGATGAGGCCAAGTGATAGATCGAAGACGTGAATCCATGTTGGCATGTATACAAACTCCAGATCCTTCAGGCGTTTCTTGCCATCAAAACCCACCGCCACAAACAAGTCACCACCAAACTCCCACAACCCCTCATTTATTGCCCGCTGCTTACCCAGTTGCAAGAAAGAAAATAGGAAGAGATTCTCATGCAATTCCTTACACCAGACTCCCTTCAGAGGGCACCAAATTTCCCCCAATGTTTGGCTCATCCCTTCTATGTGCCTAGGTTTTGCTGAGCATAGCGTCCCCACTGCCTGTACCACCTTACCTCCATCCCCCACTGACGTCTTCCAAGCACCTTAATCCCACAATTCTCCTCTGAGAGCAACAGACCCTCCGTGAGCCCCTCAAGCTCTCCCTACCACCACCAGGGCCATCGTTTCTGCTACAAATAACTAAGAAGAGAAGGAAAGAGTAGCCAATTCAAGAGTCAGATAAGCTAAAACAGGCTAGCAATGTTGTGGATGGGACAGGATTTGAACATATTGGATGGTTTAGGCTTGATTTTGGTCCAAGCCTAGGGTTTTTTTTTTTTTTGGAACTCAAGCCCAGGTGTTTGAGACCCACTGGGTCGCCAGAGATACTTCTCTACCTGGCTCCAAAAATTTCAACTTTAGAAATTGATTTGTTCAGAGACAAAGGGAGTATAAAATAAATGAATGGTCAAGTGTAATTTAAGAAACCTTGCCATTATCAGAAGACTCCTTACAAACTGGACAGAGTAATAAGCTAGCCACATCTGCTATAACAAGAAGCAAAATATCATGTCATTGTTAAGGACGAGTATTTTTAGCCTCACCAAGGAATCCTATTAACAAAAGCTACATTGAAAACCTCTGTTGACCTTTCACACATGCCATCCAAAATCAGGCCGCCCAAGGTATACGGAAACAGTCCAACTCAACACGACAAACAGAGAAAACAATAATTCAATCAATATGCTTCTAAACTAAGAGGATTCTATGTACAACCGTGTCAAACACGAGCTTCCTATATGTCATGCGCTAGACAGCCAGTATGAGAATACCTAGGACTCCGGAGCAAATTGCACTCTTCCACAAAGCATAAAAATGCCAAATAGAGGCCCCCAAAGGCACATATTAGAGAAGTTGCTGCTGGAGCTGTTGGTTCTCCCTTCTTAGTTGCTGCACTTCTTTTGTCAGGCCTTCCACCTTTTCCATGACCAAGTTCAGCACGCCTGACATTTCCATCTGTTTCTCGCAGAAAGGTCCATTATGTCAAAAAAGAAGAATGTATTAAAACAAAGGGTAAACAAAAAGATTGAGCACATAGAGCGAACAAGCATTTCGAAATCATAGGTATGGGTTCAGAACTTCAAACAAGGAATCGAGCAGTGACAAATGTGCAATCTCATCTAGGGTCGACAATTTATGATTGTACTGTACCAAAGGAATGCAAGACAGAAAAATAGCAAGCTGCCTTCCTCTTTCAAAGCAAAAGAAAAATAAGAGCAATAGTTTATTTCATTGGTAAATATTCCTAGTGTTAACTTAAAAACAGATCAGATAGACATGGGTAAGGGAAGGCTCGACTAGTCTACTGTATATGCTTTCATATTTTTTTTCATAGGTGTAGAAACAAAAGCTCCTTACATAAAAAATCACTATTGAGTATGGATATTGAATAGAAAAAAAATCAAATGCAAACTATAGAATCATGATGAAAAAACATTTTAATTGCACTCATGGCAGTTACAAAAAATAAAATAAAATTCACTTGATCATCGTTTTCATAATATATTCAGCAATAAAACAAGATAAATCTTCAATAAAGTTGTAGTACTTTTCCAACATCTAAAAGCAACACCTCTGACAAAACGTTGCACACAGTAAGAAATTCTACTACAAACGCCAATAACGCGCAACGAGTCGCACTATTAACGATCGCATGACCCCATCACTTTCCCAATCGGCGTGCCGCCCACCGCCCCGCCGCGGCGCGGTAGGGTCTTCGTCGAGACACTACCACGCCTGCGGCGACCTCCTTCCCCTCCCCCCATCGCCGCCATGGCCATGGTCGCCCCCGCCCTAACCCTGCTTGGCTGCCTCCTCCGCTGCCTGCTCCGGCGGTGTCACCGCCGCCTCCGCCTCTCCCATCCCCGCCGCCGGGCCTGCCTGCCTCCCTCGACCCCCTTTCTGAGCCCACCGGAGATGGAGAAGAAGAGAGGGAGAGGAAGACTATTGAGCGTCGCGCCATACAACCAGAGCTCGACAGGTCGTCAGATAGATTTTGCATTCTACAATAGCTGCAAGAAACCATACTATTGAACAGAACTACCAGCTCTATTTTGCAGAGTCTGCGCAAGCTTTTCTCACTTCAATGGGGCGAGAAAACAGGCACACCATGATCATTGTAAAACTACTGGTCCAGATAATCAGGTGTTTTCTACAACAGAACAAAAGAGGTTTTCTAAAACTACAGAGCAGCAATGTGTGGTTCTGTGAAATGGCTTCAAAATTAGTGTGAATATTTGACAGAAACCACGAACTATGTGTTTCCAAGAAATTAATTGAGAAAAAATGGGAGTGCGCTGATATACACATTTGTGTTTCGCAGCAGCAAGTTCATAACTGTATGTTTATACATTTTATAAACGACTAAAATAGTATCTACAGGATTTGATATCATGTAACCTTCCTAAACTTTAAAATCCTTTGTTCAAACTTTCAAGATTTAAAAGGCATTACAACAACAACAACAACAAAGCCTTTAAGTCCCAAACAAGTTAGGGTAGGCTAGAGTTGAAACCCAGCAGAAGCAATCAAGGTTCAGGCACGTGAATAGCTGTCTTCCAAGCACTCCTATCTAAGGCTAAGTCTTTGGATATATTCCATCCTTTCAAGTCTCCTTTTATTGCCTCTACCCAAGTCAACTTCGGTCTTCTCTCCTCTCTTCTTCGTTACTATCCTGCCTTAGGATTCCACTACGCACCGTGCCTCTGAGGTCTCAAGTTGCACATGTCCAAACCATCTCAACCGGTTTTGGACAAGCTTTTCTTCAATTGGTGCTACCCCTAATCTATCACGTATATCATCGTTCAACTCGATCCTTTCTTGTATGACCGCAAATCCAACGCAACATACGCATTTCCGCGACACTTAACCGTTGAACATGTCGCCTTTTCAGAGGTCAACATTCTCGCACCATACAACATAGCAGTCTAATCGCCGTCCTATAAAACTTGCCTTTTAGCTTCAGTGGTACCCTTTTGTCACATAGGACACCAGATGCTTGCCGCTACTTCATCCACCCTGCTTTGATTCTATGGCTAACATCTTCATCAATATCCCCGTCTCTCTGCAGCAATGATCCTAAATATCGAAAGGTATCCTTCCTAGGCACTACTTGACCTTCCAAACTAATATCTTCCTCCTCCCGAGTAGTAGTGCCAAAGTCACATCTCATATACTCAGTTTTAGTTCTACCGAGTCTAAAACCTTTGGACTCCAAAGTCTCCCGTCATAACTCCAGTTTCTGATTCACTCCTGTCCGGCTTTCATCAACTAGTACTACATCATCCGCGAAAAGCATACACCAAGGGATGTCCCCTTGTATGTCCCTTGTGACCTCACCCATCACTAAGGCAAACAAATAAGGGCTCAAAGCTGACCCTTGATGTAGTCCTATCCTAATCGAAAAGTCATCCGTGTCTCCATCACTTGTTCGAACTCTAGTCACAACATTGTTGTACATGTCCTTAATGAGCCTGACGTACTTCGTTGGGACTTTATGTTTGTCCAAAGCCCACCACATAACATTCCTTGGTATTTTATCATAAGCCTTCTCCAAATCAATAAAAACCATGTGTAAGTCCTTTTTCTTCTCCCTATACCACTCCATAACTTGTCTTATTAAGAAAATGGCCTCCATGGTTGACCTTCCGCATGAAACCAAATTGGTTGATAGAGACCCGCGTTATTGCTCTCAAGCGATGCTCGATAACTCTCTCCCATAGCTTCATAGTATGGCTCATCAACTTAATTCCTCGGTAATTAGTACAACTTTGAATATCCCCTTTATTCTTGTAGATCGGTACCAATATACTTCTCTTCCACTCGTCAGGCATCTTATTCGATCGAAAAATATGGTTGAACAGCTTGGTTAGCCATACTATAGTTATGTCCCCGAGGCATCTCCACACCTCGATTGGGATACCATCCAGTCCCATCATCTTACCTCCTTTCATCCTTTTCAACGCCTCTCTGACATCAGATTCTTGGATTCTCCGCACAAAGCGCCTATCGGTGTCATCAAGAGTCATCCAACTGAAAGGTTGTGTCCATATTCTCACCATTGAACAATTTGTCAAAATACTCTTGCCATCGATCGGATCTCATCCTCCTTCACCAAGAGATGCTCCCTTTCATCCTTAATGCACTTAACTTGGTTAAAGTCCCTTGTCTTTCTCTCACGAACCCTAGCCATCCTATAAATGTCCTTCTCTCCTTCCTTCGTACTCAAATGTTGGTAAAGATCCTCGTACGCTCTACCCTTTGCCACACTTACAGCTCGCTTTGCAGTCTTCTTTGCCACCTTATACTTCTCTATGTTGATCACACACACCTCTGAGGCCACCTTCCGAATGTTGGTTGCCATCTTCTCCCACATGTTGTTTATGTCCTCTTCTTCCTTCCAAGAGCTATCTTTGATAACTCTTTCCTTAATACCTCTGACGTCTCCCCTTTCAGTTTCCACCACTTTGTTCTTTCAATCTTAGCTTTTTTATCCGTACGGGCACGCACCTGAAAACGAAAGTCTGCCACCAAAAGCTTATGTTGAGAAACAACACACTCCCCTAGTATCACCTTACAATCCAAGCATGCTCGTTTGTCCTTTCTTCTCGCGAGGACAAAGTGAATCTGGCTAAAGTGTTGTCCGCTACTGAAGGTCACTAGATGAGATTCTCCCTTTCTAAAGAAAGTGTTGGCTATCATCAGGTCAAAAGCTACCGCGAAGTCCAGAACTTCCTCCCCCTCCTGATTCCTACTACCATACCCAAAGCCTCCATGAACTGCCTCGAAACCTGCGCTTATAGTACCTACATGCCCACTAAGATCTTCTCCTTAAAAAGCTTCTCACTACTAGGTATAGCTCTAACCAGGCCATCTAAGTCTTCCCAGAACTGTTTCTTAGCACTCTCGTCGAGGCCTATTTGGGGGTCATACGCACTAATTACGTTCAAGACCATATCACCAACGACAAGCTTGACTAAGATAATCCTATCTCCTTGTCTTCTCACTCCCACCACACTATTCTTGAGGCTCTTATCAATCAAAACTCCTACTCCATTTCTATTCGCGACTGTCCCTGTGTACCAAAGCTTGAAACCTGTATTGTCCACCTCCTTCGCTTTCTGACCCTTCCATTTAGTTTCTTGAACGCATAATATATTTACACGCCTCCTACTCGCGGTATCAACTAATTCTCTTAACTTACCTGTAAATGACCCTACATTCCAACTACCTAAACGGATCCTAGTTGGTTCAACTAGCTTTCTTACCCTTCACACCCGTCGACTCAAATGCAAAGACCCTTGCTCATTTTTCACTACACCCGGGCGCCGATGTAGCGCGCCACTAAGGAAGCGACGACCCGATCCTTGATCACTTGACACCATGCCCAGATCACGACACGGCGCGTCACGGGGGTGACGACCCGGTCCTTGCCCATTTAACACCATACCCGGGTTCCGATATGGCGCGTCGCTAAGAGGGTTACGCCCCAATGATTTTCTTTCGGGTTTTAAAAGGCATTGATTTCAAAAAATGGAAGTTTATTAACTGTAATAAATGTGTTTTTCTGAGCTCCAATGTTCTGGTTTAGACCTCTCCTTTTTTTGAATTTCCAATTATTTTTTTTACTCAAGGTGAATTATGCAGATATATCTTGAGTTCAGAACAAATGACATTATAGACACATAGGCTAATAAACCTATGCCTCATCAGGGAGATTCTAAACTCATAAAGCTAACAACCTGCCTCAATCATCATAGATGGTTAGCCACTACAGCCATTATAGTGGAAGGACATGAAGGTGCAGGAAACTGAATATTTCATGCAACTAATACAGTACTTCAGAAGGATGCAGTTAGCATGGCAAACGAAAGTACTAGTGGTAGAGAAAACATAAAATCAGGGGGCAGTTATCACAATATATCCACTACTTTAAATTATTTCTGTATGAAAAAAAAAGTGCAGGTTTACTATTGCTTGCACTAACCTTATCATATATTAGGCCTTATGAAACACAACACAAGGTAGCATAAACATATGCAATATGTTGGTGTTTGGTTGTTCTGCAGATGCAAGCTGTGTTCAGTAAGATTGTGTTTTGGCTGCTTATATTTTGTTGCACATGATCACCTCCATGTTCTAGTAGAAGTTGGCAAGGTGAAGATTCCATTTTTGTGGGACTCATCAACTTGTACAAGCATGTATTGCCTAATACGACCAAATCTAGCATACTAACTAATGCAGCATTTGGCCTCCTTTGAGCACTGTGCAAGCCTGCATAGGCCTCTATGGGACACAGGTTAACTGCACAAACTAATGCAGGCAACCAAATGCAACCTATGATGCTTCTGTCCACAAATCTGATCTAGGTGAGCCCACCATAGATAACTTATGAAGATCTTGCATGGCATTGGAGCAGGTTATATAGGTGTGTGCCATTGAGAACAAAACAAAGTCAGCTTAAAATCAAATTTGAATCTATGAGTCAAAACTTGAAGCATAAAGCAACATCACCATATTGAGCTAGAAATTTTACCTCCTGCATGTGAAACTGTCTTAAGAGTTCAATGTGGAGATTTCTCACATCCTCATGGATGGACTTCTGGACAGACCCAAGAGATTCTTCAAGCATGCGCTGCACATACTGAAGTGAGAAGGAAGAAGTGCCGTGTTGATCAGATGAAGAACCTGTGCTCGCCAGTTGTGGTGGCACTACCCCCTAATAAATAGAATATAACAGTTCAGCAAATCATGCTGTTAAAACATTTTAGTCATACTAGTTGCACTAGTAAACAAGAACTTCTTACATTGCTTGCTAGAGGGATTGCAGATGAAGAGGCAGCTGCTGCTTCTTGTCTTGACAAAATGCTACTGAGCAACTCATCTTTTGTTTCTGCTCCTGTCTTCTTTGATTTTGGTGAACCAAATGCTGAAGCTAATCCATCACTAAAAACAGATGATGAGCTCATTCTATCAGTATATGTTGTGGGTCTCCACATAGAAGTGGATTGTGCTGCTCCTGGTTGATCAGGAATCACAGATGGCATAGTTTTTGAAACATATGATGAGGGAAGTGAACTCTGAAGATTAGGAGAGGATGCGTCCAGGGAAGAGTGTGCATTGCTCAAGATGCCCTTGTTTTGTAGATTCATTAAAATGTTACTTGTAAGAGAACCCTTCAGTGAGTGACTGGGTGCTGAAGCTGAATCTTGTAAGGCTGTAAATGCCAAGCCACCAGTTGGAAAGGCTGAAGACCCAAAGCGTGAGATCTGTTGACGTTGAGTTAGCCTGTCTGGTAATGCATTTCCAGTTGCTATCTCTGGTGAAGATACAGATAGTTCACTCTTCCATGATGGCATGGATGTAGTAGTAGTCACAGATGAGATGCTATCCTGTACAATGCAAACATGTATAACATCAGGAAAAAAAAAAGCTATATGGTTTATCCTTTCACGATGAGACATGTGCCCCCTCAAACATAAGCGTATAAGTTTTTCATGAAGAACCTGTCTTGAATTTGCAGTAGACCGCCAATCTGCAATCGGATGTGGCTCATCATTGCCTTCCATATACGAATACTTCCGGGTTGCTGAAAATTTCTTTTCTCCTTGTTTATCATCTTTTTTTGTATCATCACTTCCATGCTCATCCCACCAGTTGCCACTAGATGGTGTGAAAGGCTGGACATCAACAAGTGGAGAAAATACATCCATATCATCCTTCAGATTATAGTTACTACGAGGAGGCTGTAGCTTTGATAACGGTCCACCAGACAGCGGACGAGTTCTATATGGAGTTTCCTCCATAGTAGAAGAATTTGAGGTCGAAAGATAGCCACTTGTGTTTGCTGTCAAAGAAGAGCGAAGACTTGTAGTGGCCACTCCAGAACCAAGATTTGTAGGTGTTGCTGAAGGCAAGGGATCTGGCATAAGAACAGACTCTTCACTAGTTCCCCCAAGAAGAGCAACTTCAGAAGAACTGTTCTCATTAACAACGACAGGCTTCGACCGTTGCCAGCATAAACCTGTCACAGCCTGAAATTGTAATTTCAGGAATGTTAAAAACAAATTAAAGAGTAGATTGTGGGAGTAAGAATTTCGTGAAACAGTCTTTATGTAAAACCATCAGTTCATTTTAATTATTAATTTAAATAGGATACCTTTCAATTATCAAGTTCGCATGACAATGATTCAGCAAAAATACATAGGAATGTATTTCATTGCCAGAGACTTCTCTCAACCAAATACAGTTTTATTTTCATCCAGGGATTCGTTGTTTTGAGAAAGAGTTCAGAACATTAAAAAAAAAGGGCGTACCCAGTGCAGAGAGCTCCCGCTCTATACGGGGTCTGGGGAAGGGTGTCAGTGGCAAGCCTTACCCTCGCCTGTGCAATGCGAGGAGACTGCGACTCGAACCCGAGACCCTCCGGTCACAGGCGGTAAGACTCCACCGCTTGCACCAGGCCCGCCCTTCAAAGAGTTCAGAACATTGTTCGAGAGAAAAAAAGAAAGAGCACAGAACTACAAATGTGATGCAAAAAGGTGAAAAGACCTCCACGTCTCAACAAGAAAAGAAAACACATGTGCCAGTCATTCAAAGCAAAGAACAATCACATGAACTACATCAGCAAACAGATGTACCGGATTATACAAAATAATAGTATTTCGATATGCTTTCTCAAGTGGAACTGTTATACCATGATGTGCAAAAATCAATGTACAAAGTACAACAGGAAACAGAATTTTCTGCAAGTCAACAACAATTTGCAGACCAAAGAGAAAAGATGAATGTGGTTTCTCACCTCAGAGGTATTATATGCACGAAGGATGGTCAATGGCTTTGGTTTTCCTCGAACATCATAGAACACCACACGTCCACTATTTGTGCCCGCTGCTAATATAGTACCATCATCATTATATGCCAATGAGGAGAATGGAGCCTCATGAGGAATAGTTTGTGTTGGCCGTCTTGACCCTGAATCTAATGTGTATAACTTCTTGTCAAGGCCCACTGTAGCAATTGTCTGCAAAAACAAAATATAAACCTCAAGTGTGGGAAAGACATTATTCATTCAGACATGAAATGCCAGCTGCATTTACAACCATAAAACCTTATCGCTGGATGGTGAAATACAAACACCACTTGTGGGTGCAGAATGTTGCTTCAGCCATGAAACCTGCACAACAGCGGCTAGTCAATTCGAGAAAATTAAAGCAAGTATAAGCAGAAGAAAGCTGATCATGCAGATCAATTATTTTAATATTTCTGAAACAAACAATGATAACCAGGGTATATCAATAGATTATATGTTTAGTCAGAATGAAGAATCAATTCAAGAAAGTAAATTTATAGTACCAAAAACAACAGAATAATAATCACAGCTACATAAAGACTCAAGAGTCAAGATGAGTACTACATGTATTTTACCTTCAAACCTCTGTCAAACAAATAAAAAACAAGAAAAATGCGAATTTAGGTTTCCAAGAAACAAATAGTCCCAGTGGAAAAAATATATAGCTAGAAATGTTCTAAAATGCACCCTGTTCCACCCATCAGGGAACTGGTCAGCAGACTACTTCTGCAAATTTGGTAAATACAGGAGCTAAGTGGCCAGCCCATCAGTTTGGCACAGGTCCAGCTTCTAGCTCCATCTCAGGTCTGGACTTCATTAACTAAAATAAAGTGTCTTGAGTCTCTATTTTTAAAAGGAAAGAAGCTAGTACAAAAACTTCAGAATGGGGCTTGGGCATTAATCAGGGTTGTTCAACATTGGGTCACCGAACACTTTTCCATTCTAATCACTAGGCTAATCAAGCCCTCAAGGCCCAGATATGGCCCCATCTCTGTTTGTCTTGCTCTGTTCAGCAACGTTCCTAGGTTCAACCTGCATGTCCAGGTTGCCTCATAGAGCCCTGTTTGCAGAATGTAAAATTATGCATAAGCTGGCCTTTCCCACCTGCCCAGAAAATTTGGTTCTTAGACAAGCTGCTGTACAAAAAAGCTGGATCTTTGGGGCTTTTTTTATAGCTTTTTATGAACATCTACCATTCGTCATCCCTTTCCTCGAGCTCCAATCCCTGGTGGTGCAGCCAAAAATCAAGCACTCACGCAACCCCAAATCTAGGAAGCCGCCACGCCCGTCAGTCACAGCTCCTCCCTCAGCACATGGGCAGCTCAAACGGCCACAGCTTTTGCTACCATGGCACACATGCAGCTCCCATAGCCAAAACTTGCACTTGGCAATTCTGGCCGCCTCCAAGGGAACCAAGCTCAAAGGGGTATCATAGGGGAGCTCGACAACCGAGGGCATCTCTGTGGGGTCTCAACCATTGGAGAGCGACAAAGCAGAAAGAGGCAGCATGGCTGTGTGAACAGAGGCAGAGGGAGATTAGGCGAGCGAACAAGCTTGCTAGGGTCAGACAGTATAAGAAGCTGATCTGCCCCACTGGGCCCTGCTGACAGGAAAAGTCAAGGGCAGTTCATTTTGGAGAACCATGGGGTGGAGGGGAGGGGGGGAATATCAGCACAAGCTACGTGTTTGCACATGGTGGGCTTATTCATAAGCAAATGCTGGTTCAGAAGCTGTGCCTAACAGGGCCTAGGTGCCCTATGGAGGAACTAGCTGGCACCCTACTCCAAGCTTAGCACCTTTTAGAATACATGGAGCTAACACAGCTTTCTCTACAGGCACTACAAAACGCCATGCTGCAAGACAAAATGTCGGTATGCAAAAGAGAGTATAATGACTGTATGGTATATAGATAGATAGATAGATAACATTACTGTCAATTTTTTAGGGAATATCATAATAACTTTCCCTATCATCTATATGATAAGCTATCTTGAAGGCTGCATTTTATTTTGATTTTAATGGTTAACTCTATAACACTTGAACAACAGAAGAATAAGTACAACATAAGCATAACCCCATGGATTCCGATACCTTAGGAGACTTTGCAGTTGTATCCCAAAGATGCACAGAACCATCATCTCCAGCTGTCACCAACAAATGCCTACTATTTCGTGAATAATCAAGCACTCTCAGAACCTGACCTTGCATAAATAATTCAGGAAAACTAATAAATTCAGAAGGTCAAAATTTAAAAATTCAGGTACTCCTAGGACCTAATGTGAGGCATGCGCATTTTACATAAAAACACAAAGAAGTAAATAAATTTACCTGTCCGTTTGGATCGCTAAGGTCAGCAGCACGTGCTCCGGAAGCAAGATTATGAAGAATCAGGTCCCCCTTCATGCTGATCGATGCCAAATGTTCATCTTTGCAGTTATACATTACGCCAGTAATTGTGTCAGTGTGACCGCTTAGCCATTTGATACATCTCTTCCGCTGCAAATCCCATATCCTAACAATATGGCCGCTTCCACCAGAACAGAGATATCGAGAACCTTTGTTGCTAAAACTGATAGAATAAATGCACTCCTAATATGAAAGTATAGGTTGCCAGGATCAGCCATGGGCACATATTTACCAAATAAAGTTATAAAGATTTGAAATATCATCAGATGATTATTCAGTAATCCCACGAATGCACGTAGAGAGAGAGAGAGAGCAGTGCCATATGCTCAATTGCTCATGTTAGATGCTGGGTAGGAAATTTCAGAGGAACCCTGTGAGGCTTTTATTTTTTAATAAAGTGGCTAAAAATTTAAAGAATAGCATAATAAATCTATATCTATATTAGGGAATAAAAGAAAGAAACCCAATAAAACCAACTAACATATATAGTGAAAAGATGTCATTATAGTCGCCAATGTTTCTTTGTTGCCAATGCCAAGAAAAACTCTAAAAAATCAAAAATTCAAATGGACTAAAACACAAAAACAGTAGTGCTAAAATGAACTATTTGGCCCTCAGGTATTATTTGGGTTGATCATTTCATTTTTGTCCTCAAAACTGCTTGTCTAGAGAAAAGGCATGGCTCAGTGCATGTAATTAGTCCAAATTTAGCATGTTTATCATTAAAGGAAAAAGGTAACAAATGAATAAGCAATATAGCAATGCCTATGAACAAAGATGTGAAATTTCCATCCTGACATTACTAATAGATAAACAGGTAACATTTTCAGAAAATGCTAGATAAATCCCCAATAAGAGTGGCACATGCATGGTTGTAGGCATAATACATGAGCACAGAATCATACTAATGCCTGATACCTCTATGTCATCACCACGGTCAACAGTTGATGTTGGTAGTTGTCCTACATTTTGAGCCTTTTTATGCCACAATGAGATCCTTTTATCATCCCCAGCGCTTGCTACAATAAGATCTGCATGTTAAGAGCAAATGGTTGTTAGTGCTAGTGCTTCTATTTGCAGCTTTACAGTGCAATACAATGAGGAATCGGTTTTTCAACATATTGAGGTTCTGTTTCAAAAAAAACATATTGAGGATAATGTCTTGTAAAAAAATATTCAGTTAGGAAAACAATGGAATGCTAAATGTAACATAACAGATGTTACACTAAAAACAAAAATAAAAACAAAACTGTTTCTTAGCGTTTGCTTGTGCAAAAAAAGGGCGTACCCAGTGCAAGAGCTCCCGCTCTATGCGGGGTCTGGTGAAGGGTGTCAGTGGCAAGCCTTACCCTCGCCTGTGCAATGCAAGGAGACCGCAACTCGAACCCGGGACCTTCCGGTCACAGGCGGTAAGGCTCTACCGCTTGCACCAAGCCCGCCCTTCTAGCGTTTACTTGTGAAACATAGAAAAAATATATTAATAAAGTTCTCTATCACTCACTGCAAGAAAGAAATGGATATCCTGTCCTTCACCATAACAGGTCACTGGTTTTGGTTGATGTATGTGTAAGCATGTAAATACAAATAAACATGATGGAAAGGCTAGAAATTGACATTTTAGCCTGATTGCTTCAGGGTATATTGCATTTAACTCCAAGCATTAGCAGGGAAGGTAGCCATAACTAATATCCGTGGTATGATAGTTTTGCTAAGGGACAAAGAGTACTACTTAGTACTTAAAGCGAATGGTTTGTTTGGTGAAGCTACAAATTCAACTTCAGGCCAATAGATATGTAAGCTTGTTAGATACTGTTGTGCGATATCATAGAGCTGCATTGTCAAGTAAAAACACAAAGACAATAGTCGTGCACAGCAGTGCAGAATAAAATGTCAGAAAGTGTAAGCGCAGTACAAAAGTGCTTGCTAGCTCAATCTTCAACAGAGAATCAATATTCTGCATAGTTCCTCTGAACATTAAACTGCAAAGATGCACGATCATGTAGTTCTCAGAAACAAATTGCAGCAGTAGAAGAAGCAGTGGTGCATTCGTTGATTTTCTTTTGAAAATAAAGCTCTGATTTCCTAATAGAAAAAAAAGATACCAGCAACAGAGATAGGACATGCATAACCTCAGTAGCCCCAAAAGGCATCCTGATTGTAGACACTGCATCAGCTTCTAGGGGATCAGATAAAGCTCATCAACTACTCAGTGCAAAATTTAGATCACGAGCACCCAAAGACTGATGGCTCAGGGCATGGTCTTACACTAGCATAACCACTGCACTAAAGGGGTAATATAAAATCTTCCCATGATCCAACCACAATGCAGCAAACGACAGCAAGCGATCTCAACGAGGATTTCAAGTGTTGGATCGAACCATCCAATGCTAACACGTACGGAACTCGCAGCTACAGATCCTCGCGTGACGAAACAAAGCGACCGAATTCAGGGGATCTGACTATCTGAGAGCACGCGTAGGGGGCACTCACTGGTGTGGTTCCACTTGACGGCGTTGACGGGGTGCGCGGGCGCGGGGGTGTAGGCGAGGACGCAGGGGTCGCCGGTCTCCACCGTGACGTCGAAGAGCTTCACCGTGTCGCTGCCGCACGTCGCCAGCAGCGGCGCCGCCGGATCCACGAACCCCATCGTGCCACGGGCGGAGGGGGCTCGAGGATTTGGGGTTTGGAGGCAGAGCGACGGCGTGGGGTTTGGAAGTCCGGCGGCGGCGGCGGCGGAGCAGGAGCAGATTTGAAAATTGAAATGGGTTTGGAGAGTTTATTTTGTTCGGTTGGGACGGACTTTGGGAGGGGTGGAACCGGCTATTGACGTTGGGAGAGGAAGACAAGAGCGGACGCGGGACCCACCCAGGGCCCCGGCCGGCTGATCTGCTCGCTTGTGTTGTGTGCAATGCAAGGCTCCCCGGCTAGCTGCCACCATGGGCCCTATCCGTTCGTGCCCATTTTTATACTGAACGTTTGTTCCCGCCCGCAGCAAAAAATACTAGTAAAAACATTAGACTGACTCCGACAGAAACAACCCAAATATGACTCCGACAGAAACAACCCAAATATGGTACCCATTCAGTAGTATATGTCACCTACAGTGAAAGAGTCACGGACCTAAATCTCGTTTTCTCCAACAGACCCTAACCCAAATCCACGCCCATCCCTCACCCACCGCCACGCCGCACACCACCCTCAGTCCTTTCTCGTATCGAGCCCGACGCCCCTCCCTCTACTCTCTCTCCCTCCCTTGTAGCGAGCCCGGTGCCCCTCCCTTGTCTCCGGTGGGTGGCGGACCCGTGCAGCGTCGGGCAAAGAAGCACGCCAAGACGGCCTCCCTCTCCTCCCTCGTCAGGTGCCCCTTCTCCCTCTCCCTGCCCCTTCCGGCCGTATCTCCGGCAGGCCTGGCGGCGACGAAGCAGCGCAGCGCTGCGCTGCAGAGCCCAGGCGCGGCGGGCCACACTGGCGACCCCTCTTTCTCCTCCGACGACTCCCCGGCGGATCTAGGCTGCGCCTCTCCTCCGACCACGACACGGCGACCCCACCCTCTCCTCCTAGCACGGCGTCCGAGGGGCGGCGGCTTCACATGGATCCTCGGTGGCGGATACGGTCCAAGAGAGCGGCGCGGGACGGGGCCTCCTCCCCCAGCCAAATCTGGCGGCGGCGTGGCGCGGGGACGCTGGATCCAGTGTGGCGCGGCGCGGCCCCTTCCCCCTCCGCCTCCTTCCTCCCTCTCTCTCTCTGCTCTCGACCTTCTCTCTCTTTGCCTCTCTCTCTCTCTCTCCACGCGGCTGCGCCTCCGTCTACAGTGTTTTGCGTCGTCGAGAGAGACGACGCTTTTTTGCCTTCCGACTCGCCTACTACGCAAAATGGCTGCCTTGTTTGTGTCCTCCTTTGAAGCGTGATTTTGGGACGCAAAACACTGTGCACGATGTATTTTGCGTTTAGGTCGCCCTTTGCCTGCTCTGTTGGAGACAGTCTTAGAGGTTTCATTATGCATTTTTTGAGTCCATAAGACTATCTTCATCAACAACACCCAAAATATAAGACACATTCCTTGTTTAGGTAGTGCTATAGGCAAATGGTTCAATACCCATTTTAGTCTCCTCCAACAATAAAACCCAAAAGAGAAGATGATACTTAGATTTAGGTTATGCCTCTCCTAGATACAGTACTGTCGGAGACTCATTTTAGGTTTAGGTGCCCTTATGGGTCACCTATTGGAGACAGTCTAAGGGAGCCCAATGCACTGCCTAGCATGTTGCCCCATCTACCACGTAGTTGTCGAGCATCGAACTCACACTTAATGGTGGTCTTGTGGAGCTCCTTGCTATACTTAGCTTGGCTCAAATGGCCATCAAGTCTAAAATACTTACAAAACAACTTATCGGTAGCACCGTGAGTAGATTGCGTAGTTAAAGGCTTATTCCAACGTACATATTTGGTGGATGTAAAGAACTAATAGGCATTTGTATCATAAAAGCCTGACGTTTATTAAGAAATGATATGCTCATGAATTTAACTTAATTCTTAACGGTTATATTTACATGTACCAGTTGAGAACATCAATTAAGTGATCAACTTTATAATTAATTTCATCATCAAGTTCATTCATTTTCACTGCACTAAGTCTAGAAGAGAGACAACCAAACAATTCCATCTAAAAACTTTAGGCTTTCGAAAAGATCTCTGCAAAGGTGTACAAGTGTACCCACACACATACCTAGGGGCGAACCTCCATACCTATGCCCGTATAAGGGTTGCCTCAAGGTTTCGACCTTTAATTTCCTCAATGTGGCCCTCAAACCCACGAACGGTTTGAATGGGTACTGGAGTAGACATCTCATCTACCCTGTGTCACCCCTTGTGCCGAATTCGCGTGATAAGCGAGTGACCACTAAGTACTCGGCTTACTGCTCACATACGTGATGTGTGGTCTATATGGGTGGTTACTCAAACTTACTATCCCATGAATGGTCCTTAGCTACTCCGTAAGCTATGTCACTTGAGATCCAACACTCACAGTGACCTTATCCCTCGCTTGAGTAGAGATTAACATCTGATCATCACTTAATTAACTCAAGTTAAGGGTTGGTCACTTGATCCTTAGTCATATTGAGCAAGTTGAGTCAAATTGAGTCCCTTGTAAATTTTATGTGATTACTTAATCCTGGTGTAGCTCTGTTGATGAAATATGGTCGACAGTCTACCTAGGGGTATGCCCACGATAGTAGATGAATTGGTGGAAGTGCATGTGAGGGAACCGGACGGTGACACAGAACGCAAGAGACAGCTATTAGGCAGGTTCAGGCCACCGACTTGGCATAATACCCTACTCTTGTGTCTTTTGGTGGGTTGTATTGCGTATGATTAGATGGAAAATGAGGGGGTCCCTACCCGCCTTATATAGCCTAGGGGTAGGGTTACAGATCGGTTGTTTCTATCCTGATCTATTTACGAGATAGGGAGGTTACAGATATTACGGGATCTAGCATATCCGAGCGGGTTTCATAGATCATCGAGGATCTTCACGTAGTCTCGCAAGGTACGCTGACCTGTGTCATGCTTCACGTAGCGTCGTCTTGTAAGCTAGGCCTCCACTAGTACCGTGACCCTTGCGTAGCCTTGTGGGCTGGGCCTCCCCTGGCGGCTCGCCCCATGTACATCCCTGTGGGTATCGGGGGTTATACCCCCATAGCTAGTCCTTGAGCACCTTGCATCCTCTGAGCAACACCGTCCTGAGCTTGTCCGAACTGATCAACACGTCACTAATTATCAGGAAGAGGCTTCCGACCTATCTGATTGGGAGCCAAGCTGTTGAAAAAGATGTCCGAGCAATTAGTCAGGCGCCTGGGCTATTGGAGCGAGCGTCCGAGCTGTTAGAATCAATGCTCGAGCTGTTCAACCGGAGCCGAGCTCAAACTTATGTGAAGTCAAGGTTTGTCAGAAGAATGTAAGGAGCTCAAGTTAAAATTTTTTGAAATCTCCAACTTGGACAAAGTGTGCCCACTTAGGTTCCGGGCATCGAAGTTGGTCGCGTGGCGTCCTTGACTTAGTTACCATAGAGGAACTTAGCCGTTTTGAAGAAATCTAAGTCAAAGAAATAAGCACATTCACCGTAAGGTGAAGTGTGCCCACTTAGTCCCCAAGCCTGGCGCTAGGTGAAGTAGTCTCATGGTGCTAGGGTCCAAAGTAGTAATCTTCAGGTGCTGAACCCGTTCCCAGCTTAGCTGAGAAAAACAATACAGTCATCGCTAGATGACATGTATACACGTAGTCCCCGAGCCTACTAGAAGATTGCGAAGATATCTTGTAGCAGGGTCAGAAAAAATATCTTGCCATGAAAATCCAAAAATTCCTTCGAAATACTGCTTGACACACGTTTTGTCTTTGCGGCCCGCGCGAAACGCAGCTTCGCGTACGGATACGGTAAGCCCAGTTAACGGCCCAGTGACGAGCAGAGAAATTGGAGGGAAGGCAGCGTGGTAGGCGCGGTTTCCCAAAAACCCTAGAAAACGGAGGGTCAGGGGTTGTTCCAGTATAAGTCCACCATGGCTCCGAGGCGCACTCCCCATTTCCCGCACGCCACATCATCTTCCTCGCACTCTTGCGTACATACACCTTCCCATTTACAACCGCTTTGCCGCTGGAGTAGATCCAAGCATCGAGCAACCACCGTCTCTAGATCTACTTGATGGCGCCAAAGAGGAATCGCAGCGGCTCGAGGCGAGCGCCACATGAGGTCAAACGCGCTGAGGAGTGGGTGCAGTCCGTTAGTGATGAGAGGGCACTCAACAACTTGGTGGTGCTTGGGATTCTACCGGACAGGGTGACAACGAGATGGCGCCCCGCGGTTGGTGAGAATTTCCCCACACCCCATTCTGATGAACTTGTTGCTTTTGAAGATTACTTCATCCGTGGATTCGGCGTCCTAATTCATCCTTTTCTCCGTGGGTTGATTGACCACTATGGCATGAGTCTCTGCAACCTTAGTCCGAATTCCATCCTTCATGTTGCTGTTTTCATCAAATTTTGTGAGGCATATATGGGGATCTTGCCCCACTTCGATCTATTATGCCATTTCTTTTGTCTCAAGATGCGGGGGGGGGGGAGCTGGATCTAAGGTAGTCGGCAGTGCTTATTTGCAGCTACAGGACAGGATGGCGAGTCAATACATCTTCATCCCGCTTAACGTGAATGTGAAGTACTGGGCCTGTAGATGGTTCTACATCAGGCAGGTGGAACCATATGTCCAGTGCGACGTTGATCAGGTGCCAGTGGCAAACACAAGGTGGTTAGAGAGGCCCGCCCTGAATGGAATGGAGCAAGTAAGGGAGCTCTTGTGGTTGATAGATCACAGAAGGTTTGATAGAGTCATTGTGGTGATGAACTTCATGTTTCGCCGGATCCAACCTTGCAAGGAGAGTGCGCACCCGACATTTGAGTACCGAGGAGATACTAATGGGACCCGTGAGGTGCTTGAGGAAATCGCCCGAGATGAAGTCATGCGATGGATCGAGATGTTGTTCAATCTCATGGGTTGAGTGTCCATCAGAGACCAGCAACGAGCCTTCAGCGTCGGAAATCTCCCCCCGACGGTGAGAGGCTTTTCTGCGGTGTTTTTCTTGATTGTCCTCACTTTGC